GCCTCCTGCACGACCCAGTTAGAGCAGTTCAAAGAGCCTCTCGTGCACCGGGCTGGTGTTTCTGCCTGAGCCATCCGCTGTTCCAACCAGTTTAATTACCCACGTCTGAGTCATCCCCGGCCCTGCTTTATCAAAGCTTGCTGCCTTGCAGACAAACTGCCCGTTGTCCTCCTCCAGCCCCCGTCGATGGGGAATTGCCAAGTACCAATTAATCAGCGGCTCCTGCTGCGACGGGCCTGGGAGATGGTGCCCCAGGAAGATGGAGATCAAGGAACGGAGAGGACCCACCGCCCGCCCGACGGGACAGAGCTGGGACTAGAGCCCGGGTCCTAATCCCACCCCAGGAAGACGACGGGGAGGCACCTGCTTCCCCCGGCGGGGACCAGCCACCCACCACCCCTGCCATACCCACGTCCTGGCCGCTGGCCTCGCTAACGCCCAAAAGCACTTCAGCCCTCCGGCACGGCCAGGCCTCTTGTGCGGCGGCTCGGCAAGCCCTCTAGCTGCAGAGACACCTGGAAATCCAACGGGGGAGGCCCTCGGCTATGCCGGCTGGAGCGAGGCAAATATCTGTGAGCGTGGGATCTGTGCAGACCAACATCGTCCAGCCCGCTGAGGATGGGCGATCAAAAAAAGCAGGTCCGTCAGCTCCTCCCGCTTCCCGAACCAGCCGTGGGCCTCCGGAGATGAAAATCGGCGCCCAATTTCTAGGCCACGCCTATGCAGTTCGCGGGGGAGGGCAGTAAATCCCGTTTGCTGCGCGGCGATTTTCAGGCCGGCAGGTCTGAGCGGTGATGTGAGACATCCCCGGTGCTCGGCAGGGCTCATGGGCACAGGGCTGGAGCAGAAACAGTGTTTTTGGGTGAATGTAAATGTTAAGGAAAAAAATAAAAAAGAAAAAGAACTATTCCGGCCCAAATCAAATCCCCATGTCGGTGTTAGGGGGTTGTTTCAATTCCAGGTGTCGCATGTTTTCAAATCTGCTTCATACAGCAGAAGTAAGGTTGATAGGGGAGATCGAAGTGAAACACCCCCAAGTTTTGCTCTGAGGTGATTACTTTTATTTTGGGGTTTTCCTTGTCATTTTAATTCGGGGACGGGGGGGTGGAAGAGTCAGTCTGGCCAGGTTGCAAAACCTCCGAGCAGCTGCTGAGTCTGCACCGGTGGCTGGAAGAGGGTCAGCAGAGGGACGTCGCCCCCCT